ATAAGCACATGGACAGATGCTCTATATCACTAGTCATCAGGGAAATGCAAATCACAACCACAATATAGCTTCATCCCCACTAAAATGGCTATAATAATAATATTCCTCTTCATTCATTCTGAAAAAGGGAAATCACTAGTGTTGCTGAGGATGTGGATACATTGGAACCCTTATAAATTGCTGGCAGGAATGTAAGATGGCACAGCCACTCTGGAAAACAGTCTGTCAGTTCATCAAGTGATTAAAGAATTACCACTTGACTCAGTAATTCTACTCCTAGGTATTCACCTGAGAGAAATGAAAATGTGTGCTTACACATATGGTCACAGCAGCAGTATTCAGAATAGCTACAAGTTGGAAACAGCCCAAGTGTCCATCAACTGGCAAATGACTAAATGAAACATGGTAAATCCACACAATGGAATATTAATCAGCCATAAAACAGAATGAAGCACTGACACACACTACAACATGGATGAGCCTTGAAAATATTATGATAAGTGAAAGAAGGCAGTCACAAAAAGCCACGTATTATACGGTTCTATATTTACAAAATGTCCAGAATAAATAAATCCATTAAGACAGAAAGTAAATTAGTTGTTGCCAGATGATGGAGGGATGAAGGGATGGGGAATGACTGCTAATGAGTATGGGGCTTCTATTTGTGGTGATGAAGTGTACTGGAATTAGTTGTGATGGTTGCACAATTTTATCAATATTCTAAAAAGCACCATGGTATGGTATCCTTTAACGTGGTGAATTTTATGGTATGTGAATCACATCTCATATTTAAAATGATACTCAGAGTAACATAATGGAATAAGGAGAATCCATGAGATGTTTTCACAATCCATGGATACAACCCAAAATAACTAGACATACCATAAACCAGAAATACCCATCCTTAGAAGGCAGTCAGTGGGTTAATGACCCTGAGAAGAGAGCAGATGGTGAATTATCAGTCAAGGATTCTAAAAGGACCTATGGTCAAGGACCTAAAGGAAAACATGCCTATAATAAATGAGTAAACAGGAAATCTCAAGAGACGCTCCACCCAATAGACTTCACTTACATCTCATGAGCCAGAGGTAGGTCACACAGGGTCTGAACTGAGGGAGTCTGAGCTGCAGGGAAGTTTGAAGGGGTGGGGGCATTTTTAACTGGCTGTGTTACCACCCTGAAAAAATGTCTGATTGCATCGGGTAGTCAATATCCTCTCAGTGCCTCCCCCAGAGAGTATGTGTTCAAGTGTGTATTTCACCTCATTTCCTGTTACAGCCACAATTTTGAGGCAAAAAATATTTTGACTTATTGTTGATGGTCGCTCTATCAGTGAAAAGCCAAGAAATGGTTTGCTCAAATGAGGATAATTTGAAAAGGACTTATTTACAAAGGTATGGACAGGATGTAGAAGGACCAAACAGGGTACACCCTATCCCAGTGCCACTAATGCAGGCACTGTTACTACAGAGACCTGGAAGGATGAGAGGGACGGCGGCTGCTGGGATCCCAGAGTGTAGAGAACTGGTCACCTTGAAACAGGAGGTGATCTATCAAGGGACACAGCCAGCTTGACTCAACCTCATGACGTCACCCTCATCCAACTGCTCTTCCAGCGGGCCTCCCCACTGGCCACACCCAACCGGAGGACAGGGCACACTCGCCTTTTGATGTGGTTGGTACAGATAGGCCTCCGTGGCAGAGAGCATCTGAAGGGCAAATAGAGTCACCTGGCAAAGCTGTCCCATTTCGAACAACGCTGGACCCAGGAATTACTTCTGACAGTTCCTCGGAGGTTATTGTCTAAGCTGTACAGTTGCAATTCAGCTTACAGCCACAGTGTGCCCTGGGAGTTTGTTCCTGAAGCTAATTCTGACACATCCGCCTTGGGGATTATTCAGCAGGGGTCAGGGAGCACAGCAGCCTGGTGCAGCTGACAGCACGCTCCCCCACCACATAACCAAGCATCAACCTGTCTCTTCCAACTACCGCCCTGATGTCTGAGCTCAGGTGACTTGCTGAAGCCTCAGTTTCCCAAACCACAAAACGGGGTAAAAGAGGATCCATTTGCTGGGTTGTTGTGAGGGAACAAACGAGAACACTTAGCAGACAGTCTAGCCTACAGTGGGTGCTCGAGAAATGTTGGCACCCTTCTTATGTTGTCCCCATACAAAGGACCCTCGGAGTCAGTGTAGGCAAAACCCCCTTAACTAAGCAACTACTATGTGCCAAGCACTGAGATATTTTGAAACTTCATAATAATTCTTCAGATAAACACTCTTCCCATTATATGGATGAAGAAACTGAGGTCTGCAAAGATTTGGAGACTTGCAAGGCCACACTAACTGCATGTGGGAGTAGACTTGACCCACGTGTGTCAGAGTTTAAGGGCTATGTATCCTTGACTGCACCCACTACTCTGCCACTTCCAGAGGCATTTGGAATGGCATTCATGGATTCGCAACGTTCTCCTCCTTTTGGCAGATGGCAATGGGGTTTGATCTTTAATCATGGCACAAGTAAATGTTTTCCTACAGGTTCTCATTTTATAAAACTGGAAACGGTTTTCTAGGGGAAAATGTCTCTCCTAGCTGTCATGACATCATACATGGGCAAATAGTCTCTTCAAAGTTCAACACAGGACAGCACTGTTTTGTTGATGGGGCCTCTAGACATGTGTGACAGCACAGCACAGCCCCTGGCACAGGGCTGTGCCCGAGTTACACTCCGCAAGAGTTTGTGAAAAATGAACTGCATTCCTGCTCAGCCACCCTCCCCCATGCTACCCTGTCATCCTGCCGCAGGCTGACACACGGGGCTCTGTTCCTGCCAGCCTTGGAGGTGCTCAATGGGGGCTGATGACATTTAGAAGCACAGATAGATGTGGGCTGAAGGAGGTAAAGGCAGAGAAGCGGCCCCAAACGAGCCATCAGGCAGGATTCGGCCACAGGTAAGTCGAGAGAAGCCCATGAAACCCAAAGGATGAGCACGTGGCTCACCGTGGACCACACGGGACCAGAGGTCCCTGCAGAATGGCTGTTCCCGCCTGGGTGCCACTTCCGGTCAGCTCTTAACATTTCCACAGCAAATCCTCCTGTCTTGCTTTGCATCCCCACATTACACAAGGACACGCGGGCATATCGGAGAGCACACGGAGTCCAGGAGACGGCAACTGATTCTGCCAAGACCTTTAAAAACATTTTCTTCAGATGTGCAGACCCCCCAGTCCCCCAACACTCAAGAATATTCTCTTGAAAACCAAATATAGAGGAAACAAGGGTGGGCAAAAAAGGAGTCACATACTGAACCTGACAAGCTCAGGGGAGGCCAGCATGGTGGGCCCTACAAACTCAGAGACCTAAGTAACACATAGGAAGTTTCATATAACAAATAGTAAATAGGACAAAAAAATACAAACAAAGCACCCCAGAGCCCCCAAACCTCAGTTCCTGAAAATAAAATTCCTGAAGTCCTGTGATTGTGTATGTAAGTGAAAGATGGGATGAAGTTGGAGGAAACCTTCCGCTCTGGGGGGACCTGAGACCTGAGTTTGCACTGTGGCCAAGGCACCCAACCATGCCCTCTCCAGTCTCTTCATGGGTGAAACGGCCTTTTCCAGCTTTATGAACCCCTGGAGAGGGCCGAGAAGAGGAAAGAAGGCCAGTGTCTGGTCCCAGCGGCTTGGCCTCCCAGAGGAGCCTGCCAGATAAACACAACCTGGGACAAACACGGCCACACTGGCCACAAGGAAACCTTTCACTAGTGGGGTGAGAGGGTACAGAGAGCAAGGGGGACACTGGCTTGGGCACAGGCAGCAAACGCATGGAGATTGAGGCAGAAAACCACCCAACTCTATGGGCTGCCTGGCCCCCTCCACTTGGAGGGGAGCAACAGTATCTCACCAGGAGTACAAAGTGGCTTACATGGGCTGCCCACTTCCTCCAGCAGAAAGGTGGCCAGGAGAGGCCCACCAGTGTTCCCTGGGTAGTGAAGCTCAGGAGGATACGCTTCCAGGGAACTCCAAAGTCCCTTCTCCTTTCCTTCCGAGGAAACAGCTCACACTCTGAGGCTGCAGCCGGCTGCGCTGGGAGAGGACTCTGCTGAGTGACCTGCGGAGGAGGACTAGATTTTGAGGCGTCGCACGCCTGCTGTGCCCCGTGTCATCTGTAGCAGTGCCTTCTGCAGACATTTTCCAGTAAGAACTTAATGTTTTCCAGGAGTGCCCGGAGGCCATCTGATTCCTCCCACAGCCCCCGGGTGCAGGGGACTTGGGCTGCTTGCGTCTGCCCTTCCGGTGCTATTTCCCACCGACTGAGCAAGGCGTCCAGTGTCCCCATAGCCCGCCTCCATTTTAGATTTTCCCCTTCCGTCTGGTGGGTGAGAGATTGTAGGTTCCTAGTCCTAGTGCATAGGTGTCCCCGTACCCCCACTCATTATTTAGAACACTAGTCTGCTCGGATGGGGAACTTAGTCTGACTTCTGTCAAGTTTGTGAAGCCATCTCCCGGCCACAATGTCGTAGAGGACGGTGTCCGTTCGTGGTTGTGGAGTGGACAGACCTGGGTGGGAGTCGCGCTCTGCCACTTGCTGCTGGGGGGGTGTCAGCATTAGTCACCCCAGCTGTCACGGGGCTGGTCAGGAGGCCCCGCGCTCGTATGCGGCCTGGCTAGGCTGCCTTCTCCGGGGTTCCCTGGTGACTCCCGCCACCCTCGTCCTGGCGTCGCGCCGCCTCCGGGGCCCGGGCTGGGCGCGCTCCAAGCGCATTCCTGGTCAGGAGGCCCCTCCTTCTCCCAGGCCCGGGGGCCGGCGCCGCCCCCGCCCCGCCGGACCGTGGAGGCTGGTGGCCGCAGGCGCCAGAGGCCGCGCCCGGACAGAACTGCGCTGCATTCCCGTCCCCTCCCCTCCCGGGCGGCCGGCTGCGCTCCCGCCTCCCTGACCAGAGGGCTGGACACACTCGGCAGGAGGCGGACAGCCTTGTTCTCCCCCAGGCAGAGGTCCGGACGGCGAGATGCGGCCCCGCGGCGCCTGCGCGCTCTTCCTGCTGCTGCCGCTGCTCGTCGCCAGCCCCGCGCAGCTCGGCGCCCAGGTCAGTGTCCAGCTCACTGTCCTCCGCCTCCCGGCCGGTGCGCAGGACACGAGCCACGCTCCGCTGGAGCGATATGGAACTAGGCTCTGTTTTCAGAGAGTGGCGCGGGACCCGCGTCCTCTAGACGCACCGCGGGCGGCTCCGGACCGCTGCTCACGGTGCGCCCGGGTCCGCGGGGGTCAGGGTTGCAGGGAGGTCTCCCGGGATTTGAAACGGACAGTGGTCTCTCCTGGGTTCCCATGAAAGGGGCTGGTCAGCAGCTGGGCCAGTGTCCCCGCCCTCCAGTTTCCCATATCAAGGGCTAACTCGGCATGCCCGCCGTGACTTTCCCACGGTCGCCGCCCTTCCCCGGGTCTTTCCCACCCGCGCGGCTCGCTGTTCACGCTCCCTCCTTCCGTTTCTGTGTGTTGGAGTCTCTCTGGGTGTATTTATTTGACCAGACTCACTTTTACATTAACCAGTAAGAACCGATGGTTAAAATTAAGGCGAGAATGCGTCTCCCGAAGCTGGAGCCGGAATTGCCGAATTCAGAGCCAGCGCCTCTAGGTGCGCCTCTGGCCCAAGCCCCTCGCGCTGGTGCCTACAGTGGGCGCCCCAACAACACCGCCCACATCAGTAACAGTAAGGGGTGGAGCCTGCCCGTGCTTGCTGTGCCCTGGTGGCTCCCAGAGCAGCCCTGTGAGGGAACTAAGGCCCAGGGAGACTGTCACACAGCCAGGAAGGAGTGGAGTAAATGTAGTCTTGCTTCTTGGTCTCCATGCCTTGCCCTTGCCCTTCCCCACAGACACTGGTGCCCGGACACTGAACCAGGCAGGAACCTTCGTGGCCGCCTGGAAGCCCCTGGGGTTCAGGGTCGGAACAGAGAGAGCTCACTCAGGCCTGACCTGGGTGGTGTTACTGCAGAACTGGTGAGCGGCAGGGCAGGAACCTATCAGCCACTGAGCAGCAATGGCCTAGTCTGGGGCCACAGTGAACCCACCCAACAGGCAAGGGGGCTCCCACCCACTTTGCAGATTACAAAACACACCATCAGACCAGAACCCAAGGCAAGAATCCCAGGGAGGTGTGTCCCCAAGCCGTCCCCAAGCCCGGGCCAGTGAAGGACAGGATGCAAGGAGCTGCTGGGAGCCCACCTGCCGCCATCTGATTTTATGGGGGCTCTGCTGTCTCTCCAGGTCACCTGGAAATCAGGAGAGATCTGACAGTTGTCAGATGTCTGAAGCTGTTCCTGGGCGATCTGTCCCCATCCAGGCTTTCTCTAAGTCATTATCCTCAAATCTTGGCTTCTTAACTGCGTTAAAATGTCCTTCACCCAAAGTCCTGTGTGGTTAGGGGTCTCTCCCAGCACCTGTCTTGGGGAGCCTGAGGGTAGACCATAAAGAAGGCCTCAGGACACTCGCCTGGCTCCTTCTCATCTTCCAGTCTCTTGAGTCAGTGCCCTTTCTCAGGGGCTTGCTGGACCCCACTCTGAACAGGTCCCTCCCTGCCCTGTGTTTTACTTCTTAGCTTCTGCAGGGCTCCTCACAGTAATGATTCGTTGTAGTAGATTTTGAGCTACTATCTGTCTTCCCCACTCCAGGGCCCTGGGGGCTGTGACCAACACCCAGTAGGAGCTTGAGGGGTGTGCTGTGCTGGTTTGAGCAGGACCAGGCTGGGCCGTGTCTGGGCACCCCTCAGCTGCACATCAGGGTACCTGGGATCTTCTAGAAAGCCTCATGCTGGGCTCCCCAGAGATTCTGACTCAGTTGGTCTGGATTGGGGCTCAGTATTTTTAAAAATTGTCCCTAGTGATTTTTATCAAGCAGGTGCCTGAGATCTGAGTTAAAAGCTGTGGACCTAGGAAGGGGCCGAGGGCAGGGGGATTTGAGGGGACAGAGGACTGGACTTATGAGGACCCGAGGTGATTTGTGTCCCTGGAGTTCACCTGATCTGAACCCAGGATGAGCCCCGGGCCAGACCTGTTGGCTGGTGGACACTCAGCAAGTGTTTGGAGAATGACTGGTACCTGTGGGACCATCTCCTGCCACAGAGGAGACGGGCAGGGTACAGCAACTCAAGGACCCTTAGGACCAGGCGCGGGAGGCCTGCCTGGGTACCTTTTTCCCAGAGTGTGCTCATCTTATTGTACTAGGTGACAGCCCAAGGGAGACATGAGGTATGCATGTGTGTGTGTGTGTGTGTGTGTGTATAGGTGTCTGTGAGTGTGTGCACATGTCTATGTGTGTGACTGCACACCTGTGGTGCGTCTGTTTGTATGCACACGCATGTGCATTACAAGGTAATGGGGGCCTGCTTCGTGCAAGGGTCTGCAGCAGTGGTGTCATGGGGTGGACGGTCTCATTAGCTCTCCTGTGGTCCTCCATGGCTTTCTACTTGTGACCTTGTCAGCACATGTGTCCGGAGTCACTTTGTAGGTGACCTGCTAATGGAGAGCAGGTGGTCGTGCAGAACGAGGGGACATTGAAGGAGTGTGGGGATCTGATCCTCCTTGCCTATGTGGTGGGGGCCATGGTGTTTCGGAAGGCTTCCCCTCCCCCAAAACCTCTCTTTATGATCGGATGTCACAAGACTCCACATTCCACGGAGGCTCCTTCATTAGAGGCTCATTCTTCTGGTTGTGTCCTCCCATTTGATATGGGACTTTTTACAGTTTAATAGGAAAAGTGTTTTGGGGGCACAGTTCCATGATTTTAACGGTAGAACTATATCCTGTATGTGGTCAGAATACAGGAGAGTTCCAGCACCCCAACCTGACCAGCTAGTCTCTATAGTTTGTCTTCCCCACCGTGTCACATAAACGCAATCAAGGATGGCACAGCCTCCTGCCTGGCTTTTCAAAGTGAGCACAGCCTTTGAGATTCTCCCATGGCATCTGAGCACACAGACCGGTTCCTTCACGATTGCCAGGTCGCATTCCTCTGTGGGCGGACGGTGGTTGATCAGTGCCCCCCGAATGCCTTTGGTGCCAGCTCCAGCTTGCGGTGACTGTGAATGGAGCCGCCTGGAACCTTCCCACACAGCCCTCTGTGTGAGAGCAAATATTCGTTCCTCCTGGGTAAACACCACGAGTGAGGCCGCTGATCCTACATCAGTGCAGCCTTAGCTGTGGGAGACTGCTGCACTGTGTCCTACAGTAGTCACTTTTCATTCCGACTAGCAGTGTCTGAAGACGGGCTGCTGTGCATTCTCAGCAGCACTCACTGCTGCTGGGCTTGTCTGTCCAGGTCATTCTAGTAGGGTTAGTGGTACCTCACTACAGTTCTTATTGCCGTCTCTCTGACAGCTAACAATGCTGGCTGCTTTCCATGGGCTAGTCTGCAAGGTGCAATGTCTGGCCAAGTATTCTGCCCACTTACATGGAGTGTTTTTCTTATTGTTAAGTGTTGAATGTTTTTTGTGTATTCGAAATACAAGTTCTTTTTCAGATGTGTGAACTGATATTTTCTCCCAGCAGGCAGAGATAGATGAAACTTCCAGAAAGTTTTTTTCTGGGGTTTTGGGGGAAGGAACACGTGAGGCAGGGTAAGGGGCTAACAAGGTGACAATTGGCTAGCTTGAGTAATTTGGGCCGAGTCTCAGTGTGGGGCCACCCTTGCTATCTGGCACTTGGGCCATTTGGGTGGGGTCTGCTGGGCTTGCGGAGCTACTGTCTCACAAGTGCGAGAGTGGACAAAGTAGGGGGACGGGCTGGCTTGCAAAGCAGAGGTGTGCTGAGGGCACAGGGAGGGTGTTGAGTGGCTTGCTCGCTGGAGCAATTGGCCGGCCTACGAGAAGGGGGCTGTCTGTCTGTCCCAAAGCAGCCAGGCCCCACATGCCAAAACATTAGGTACAGAAGCCAGACAACATAGGTAATACAGACACAACATTGGGACGGGCACACAGCCTCCACTGAATCCTGTTGGCCAAAGCAAGTCACAAGGCGAGCCCAGATCCAAGAGGTGGGAAAGCAGATGTCTTCTTCATGGGAAAAGCAGCAGCTTCCTTGCCAATGCTGTGGGTGTGGGGTGGGAGGCCTGTGGTGACTTCTGCAAACCTTCCCTTACAGGGCCCTGGAGTCCCATGAGGATGGGCCAAAGAGGCCTTGCCGGCAGGCTGGGCTTCCTCCAGCGTCTCCACCTTTCCTTGCCACCTTCAGGAAGGGGCCTCCAGCCCTGTCATGGGCAGCCTTGATGACAGAGCAGAGTAGAGGCCCCTTTGCTCCCTGGGGGCAGTGGTGTTGGTGGCGTGGTCTGAGAGTGGCCAGCTGGGGAAGGAGACATGGCTTCTTGCAGTCAGGATCCAGTGCCCTCCCAGGTAAGCCCTGGAGGATCCTGTTGATACCGGAACCGATTCCTGGTCAATCTAGCCATCTTGGTCTGTGTAGCTGCTCCCTGAGCTACTTGGGCACCGTCTCTCTTCCCACATGCCGGCCAGTCCTCTGTATCAGCCAGCTGTCCCAGGAGGAGTGTCTGTCCATCTTCTGACTGTGTTGGTCAGTCCCTTGACCCACCGGGACAATGGTGGAGATGCTGGACTTGTGTCAACCAGCCCTGCGGCCATCAGGGCCAACTCCCTGGATGGTAGAACTTTCTTGATCCTTTCAAACCCTTCGCCAGCATCTTACATGCTTCTCAGAAACCACTTGGGACCTAAAATAAGGCCATTACACACATTTTCATTAAAGAAAAAATAAGCACCTATAATTTGACAAGACCCAAACCTACCCATTTCGGTAAGTAGAATCTACAGGTCAAGCAATGAACCATTAATGTCCCCTGTGTGTAGGAAAGTGTGCATCCCACTGGCAGTGTGGCCTCCAGAATCTTCCCAGGGAAGCAGGAAGTAAGGCCCAAGGAACGCTTCCGGGATCTGGCGTCCAAGCAAGTGTTCACACCCAGGACTGCAGGATGGAGGGAAGTCTGAGGAACTTTAGGGGCTCCGAAGTCCCCAAGCTGGCCCTTGACCCCACTGTTGCCATCCGGTTGACCACTAACTCGGACACTTATCTTCATGCTGGAGATTAGGTTACCTCTGGACCCTCTACTCACCCATTTCTGCAGCAGGGGCCGGGTCCAGACCAGGACTGTACTAGGCGCCTCCCAGGCAGCTAAGGGATTTGAATGATTTATGACTGGTTGGAAGAGAAGGAAAGTCACCCTGGGCTCCAAGGCAGGGTATCTGTATACCAGAGGCAGAAAAGGAACAGAGAGGAGCTGCGGGCATTTACACTGTAGTGTGAAAACAGTGTCAGTATCAGCTGGGGCTGCTGCAATTTAGGCCTTTTCTCTGATTGCATAACTAGAGGTTTTACCCTCCCAGAGGAGCCTCACTCCACATCTGTGTCTGCAGACTGCCCGGCTACCCCCAGTGCTGTTCTGGGCCTGGGGAGGCAGTACACCACGTGGAGAAGATGCCAGTGCCTGGTCCTGTCCTGGCCTCCTCTCCTCCTGCCTGAGCAACCTGGAGCAAAGTCCTGTCTCTTGTGACTCAGTTTCCTCCTCTGAACAGTGGGGATAACAGACATACCCCTCTCATGGGGTCATGGGAAGGAGGAGATGAATGGCATGCAAAGAACATGGTCCACAGTGGGTACCCGGTACATGTTGGGGAGAGAAGACAAGGCAGACGTGGTTCATGCGGTCGCATAGCTGCCAACAGGGAGAGGAACGCAAGACACACCTGAGAAATATCAGAAGGCAGAACCTGGAATGGGCACTGTGTTGAAGGGAGGCCGGGAAGTGGTCAGGACTTTCTGAGAAGGCGCCTTCTCATGAAAGTGGAAAGACAGGTGCCCAACTTTCAAGGACCAGGGGCAGATTTTCTGAGCAGAAGAAACAGCCAGTGCAAAGGTCCTGAGGTAGAAATGAGCTTGCTGAGGTGTGAGGAGAAACATAGAGGGTTCAAATACTGAGCCCAGTGCAGAGAGGTAGGCGCTCCACCTGGGCACAGGTGGGGATGGCAGGGCTTGACCACACATGGCTCTGTAGGCATAGTAATGCCCCCCAGATATCTGTGTTCTTACCCCCAAAATTTGGGAATTGTACCTTGATTTTAGCCCAGTGACACCTGTGTTGGACTTCTGCCCTGTGGAACTGTCAGACAATAGTTTTGTGTTGTACCAAGCTGCCAAGTTCGCGCCAATCTGTTGCAGCAGCAACAGGAAGTGAGCACCTGTCAGCTCCATGCGAGGAGCTTGCCTTCATCCTCCCGGCTGTGGGTCCGCTGCTGGATTTAAACAAGGAAGGGACACCGTCTGGCCTCCAGCCTCATAGATGGTAGAAGGGAAAGTGAGGACTCGGAGAGCAGGTGGTACACAAGTGTCACAGTTCAGGGCAGGACAATTTCAGTCACGTGGTTGCCTATCTGCCCAGAAACACTGAGTGCTGTTCTTCAGAGAGTGCAGGAAAATCTATTTCATTTAGCCTTCGCGGCCCTCCGGGGTAGTTACTCCAGATAAGGACTCCGGTTCAGGAACCCAGGCCATGGCCAGGTGCACAGCAGTCATTTGTTCCTCCCATTGGGTTTGCCCATGCGTCCTGCCAGGGCCAGGCCCTCCCCCCAGCCCACCCGCTCGCCCCCACCTCCTCAGAGCCAACTGAAGAAGATCCAGCCTTCTGGCAAAATCCAGATGTGGGTTTTCAAAAGTCACATAAATCTCAGATCACGTGTGGACATACACATGTGTGCCACACAAACAAACAGCACAAGTGTTTGTTCCTGGAAGTGTCTGTGTGTGTCAGCGGCGGGGAACCGAGGTGCGAGCAAACTCGGGCCTTTTCTGAGCCCCTCATCCCAATTCCTGCAGGAAGAACACCCTCACTGAAAGGATGAGTGTCAGGGGAGCTGTTGACTAATGCTATTAAAGGCACAGCAAGTCTGCAGGTGAATTTGGCAACTGGATGGAAGTCAGCTGAGCAGCACGCAGGGGAAAGAATCAGGTGAGCTCAGGTATGAGATGAGCAAGGTTGTCCTGGGCCCCACACGAGTGCATTCCCTCGGTCCTTGTCCATCCTTCTGCTTGTGGTTCATTCATGTGGGCATCCAGTGTGTGCTCAGACCTTGCCTTCAGTGACGGGGGTTCCAAGTTGTCTGTAGCTTGTCCTCTGCCTTGAAGCATGCAGAGGGGCTTAGGGGAGCCAACTGGAGGTGGATGTCAGGGCCAGCGAGGGACGCTATGAAGTGAGAGTCAGGAGGTGAGCAAAGGAGGGCTTGGGGGGCAGGGGGTCCTGCAGATCCCTCTCTAAAGTAGGCCAGCCATCTTGTCGCATCAGGGCCTGGAACAGGAGCACTGGAGTTTGACTGCTGGATGTCACCATGGCTAAGTGACTGCTTGGCTTCATGGTCTGTGCAGTGGGCATAATAATGGTGCCACATCCTGCGGCTGACTTGCTCAGCTCATGAGTGACTTGTCTGAAGTGCAGTCATAGTGCTAGCTGTTGGTGCCCAGGTACCCATGGTTGTCATCACTCCCATGACTGTTTTAAAACATAGACAAGAAAGGGGGTTGGGTGTAAATATATAATTATGGGCAGCCAACATGAGAAATACCCAAAACACCCGTGCGCCCTGGGCCCAGGTCCCAGAGGGAGGTCCCGACTGCAGGACTGAGATGGTTAATCTCATATGTCCCCTGGGCTGGGCCATGGCATCTGGAAAAGTGGTCAAATGGCAGCCTAGATGTTGCTGTGAAGGTAGTTTTTAGATGAGATGAGCCTCAAATCGTAAAGCAGGTTGCTGTCTGTAATGTGCGTGACCTCATCCAAAAGACTGAGGGCCCCAAGAAGCCAGGGACTGTCCTGACGCCCGGGACTCGAACTGTGGCCTCAGTCCCAGCTGGCCGCCACCTGCAGATTTCAACTTGCAGTCCCCATTGTCCTTAAAATAAATCCCTCTCGTTCTGTCTCTCTCGGATGTAAAAGTGTGCCATGTGCATCTGACTGATTCTGATTTCTGTGGGACCCTGACAGCCACAGGGCGTTCCCCAGGGGCACCCACTTTCTCTCATCCTCCATGAGGTCACTGGGATGAGAGAAGTTCAGGGGCTTATAACCCCCCTGTGACTTGGTCTAAAATGGAAATAACTTCTGGAAAAAGCCACGTGCACATCCGACATGACTCAGAGGCTGGGGCTGTGGTTTTGCTGAGCAGGCACACACTTGTCAAGTGTGCTCCGTACTCTCACAGACTTAAGGGCATCGAAACATCTGTGCTCCCCTTAGCAAAGTGCTGATGTGACTCAGAGCTGTGGCTCACAAGAAACCATCTCAGGAGATGGCCCCCTGAAGTCTCAGGGGTCATCCGTGGTCACCTGAGGGGTCACAGGGCTCTCCTGTCATGGAGTGGCTCTCAGAAAGAGTCAATGTTCCCAGACTATCATGGTGAGGAGACCATGGAGCCAGGTCACATGAGAACAGAAGCCTCAAGGCCCCCCATGCACCCCACGCCTGTCGGTGCCTTGAGAGCAGATTGTGGGCCTTAACCTTCATTTATACATTGAGCCCAATGGCCAGGAGGCTTGGGCATGGAGATGGGGTGAGCTGGGGGAACACACGTGCATCCCCAGGCAGCAGGTAGGGTCTCGAAAATGGCTCTGGTTGCCCCCCTACACACACACACACACACACACACACACACACACACACACACACACACTGTGTGCTGGCTCAGGGACAAGGCAGTGCTGTGAGCTCTGGGCATGTCCATTAGGTCCAGCTGAGTAAGTAAAGTGGGACCATGGGGCAAGATAGACATGCTATTTGTGGGGGTGGCGTGGGGCAGCTGAGCATGCTTCTGTGGCCTGCCAGCTCCCAAATGCCTCATGACAAGTGGCCACCACCCTCAGCTCTCAGCATTGGCCTGTCTTCCAGAACCATCCATGCCACCCCCGCCCCAGCATGGGAAGTGCTGGCGGGATGATGTCTGTTGCTACTTGTCTCTCTGGTTCAGGCCTTCTCCGCAAACACTGCCGTTGGTGTCCAGATGAACCAAGTGCCCATCCTTTGACGAGTCTGGTGACAGAAATGGTAAGCCTTGGTCTTGCTCTCTTTGAGCATTGGAAATGTCTCACTGAATGTCTTCTCTTGGTTCCATTTCACATAAGTTATTAACTCAAAGAAGCGGAAACTATTTTTTATCCTTTACTGCCAGTGGCATTGGCCAGGCATGGAGCCAGGCTTTGACAGCATGGAAATTTACACCATCTGAGGGCATCTCTTTGAGAAAATATTGAAAATGAGGGCCCCTCTAGAGTCTTGGAAGAGGCCTGCGGAGGTGGGGGCACTGACACGCCCCTTTCTCGGCCTCTGGGACATGCCTTCCCTCCCAGGTGTGGCTTTGACCTTTGCTCAAGCGGTAGGCCAGCTCCAGAATGGTGAGGGGAGCCTGTGTTTAGGTTATACAGTCGGGTTTCAGGCGCCTGAGATGGGAACGCACTGCCCAAAGCCAGCCATTTGCTGAGGCAGGGATGGGCTGAAATGGTGACCCCTGGGGGCCTGGCCTGCTTCCTGTCCCACAGCCTCAGAAGCCCTGGAAGCCCCTTGCAAACCTCTCTCCTCCCCGTGCCCCGCCCCCCCCCCCACACACACCCCTTGGCTGACCTCCTCAAGGCTCCATTTTCAAAGAAGGAAATGGTTCACTCCCAGAACAGGGTTCCTCCTGGCACAGATCAGATGGGGTAGGTGTGGGAAGGTGAGCAGACAGGTGGAGGGGCAAGTAGCCCCTCCCCTCCTGAAAAGAGCACAGAGGAACAGGCATAGAACTGAGACTCCAGGCCCACCGTGTTGCTCTGCTGACTGGTGTGAAACGATGCCACAGCCCAGTGTCCACAGGACAGCTGAGGGGACCTGCCACCTGTGATCCAGCGAGATGGCGCTTCTGCCATATTGCATGTGTGTCCCATCTGGAAGTGAGAACCGAACTGAAGTTAGCAGGCTGTCTCAGGTCACAGGGCTGGCTCTTTGTTTAAAGTTTTGTAAGGAGCATGTTTTATTTTTATGACCAAGCAAATTGATAAAACTTTCTCAATTTGAAAAGGGGACACACCCAGGTCTTTAGTCCCCTCCATGATCCCATTTGTGCCCACAATGCAGACCCCTTGAGCACCTGACTTGGTCCATAAGGACTTCAGTCTTGTCACTAGCCTAGCTGTACAGGTGAACTTATTACACCTGTGCCCAAGTCCCAGGACAGGCGACAGAGTCTGAGCATGGCTCCCAAGGGCTCCATTACCACTGGGATCAAGGAGCCAACCTCCCAGTAGCAGCGCAGTAGACGTATCAAAAGGCACGGAATCTCTCAGTCCCCCTGGCACCGGTCTTCAGCCCACATGCTGGTTTGCCAAGACCACAAGGATCTTCCTTTCTTATTTTTTCCCTTGGGAATTTATTTTTTCTTCTAGTTTTATTGACCTATAATTGACATACAACTTTATATTAGTTCTAGGTGTACAATGTAGCAATTCGATATTTGTCTATATTGTCAAGTGACCACCACAATAAGTTACCATCCATCACCACACATCGTTACAAATTGGTTTTTTATTGTTTGTTTGTTTGTTTTTTTCATTATGATGATAACTTTTAAGATCTGCTTTCTTGGCAAGTTTAAAATATGTACTACTTGGATTAGATAATAATTAATGGATTATTAACTACAGTCACCATGCTATACTTTACGTCCCCAGGACTTACTATCTTGTAACTGGAACTTTTTATCTTTTGATCACCTTCACCCATTTTCCCCACCCCCAACCCCTACCTCTGGCAACCACCAATCAGTTCTCAGTTTCTATAAGTTCAGCCTTTTTAGGTTCCACATATAAGTAAGATGATGCAGAATTTGTCTCTCTCTGTCTGACTTAATTCACTTAGCACAGTGCCCTCAAGCTCCATCCATTTTGTCACAAATGGCAGAATTTCCTTCCTTTTTATGGCTGAATTAAATAGATGATAGATGATAGATAGATAGATAGATGATGTGATCTATATATATCACATCTTCTTTATCCGTTCATCCATCAGTGGAGACTTAGTTTATTTCCACGTCTTGGCTGTTGTGAATAATACTGCAGTTGTACATGGGGTGCAGATATTTTTTTGAGATAGTGATTGCATTACTTTTAGATAAATACCCAGAGGTGGGATTGCTGGGTCATACAGTAGTTCTATTTTTGATTTTTTGAGGATCCTCCATACTGTTTTCATACTGGCTGCACCAATTTGCAATCCCACCAACAGTGCACGAGGGTTCCCTTTTCTCCCATGTCCTTGTCAACACTTATGTCCTGTCTTTTTTATAATAACCATCCTAACAGGTGTGAGGTGATATCTCACTGTGGTTTTGATTTGCATTTTCCTGATGACTAGTGATGTTGAGCAGCTTTTCATGTACCTGTGGGCCATCTGTCTGTATTCTTTGGAAAATGTCTGCTCAGGTCATCTATTTTTTTTTTAAAGTTGCCGAAAAGGAGTTTGTTAGAAGTAAAAATACATTTCAAAGAAGCATAAGCGGGCCCGAGCAGTAGAGAATGGCTCAAGGGCCATTATTAGAAAAGAAAGTACACTCCAAAGAGTTTGGAGAGGGTTGAGCAAAGGAAGCTCAAAAGGCCAGGTCATCTATTTTTTTATCGGATTTTTTTTCTATTGAGTTGTATGAGTTCTTTATATATTTTGGATATTAATTCTTTATCTGATATGTTATTTACAATTATCGTCTCCCATTCAGTTGGTTGCCTTTTCGTTTTGTTGATGGTTTCCTTTGCTGTGCAGAAGCTTTTCAGTTTGATGTCATCCCACTTGTTTAATTTTGCCTTTGTTACCTTTATTTTTTGATGTCCACTCCAAAAATTATCTCCAATATTAGTGTCAAGGAGCTCACTTCCTATGTTCTCTTCTAGGAGTTTTGTAGTTTCAGGTCTTACATTCAAATCTTTAATCCAGTTTGAGTTGACTTTTGCATATGGTGTAAGATAGGGGCCCTGTTTCACTCTTTTGTGTATGGCTGTCCAGTTTTCCCAATGCCACTGATTGAAGAGACTGTCCCTTCCCCACTGCATATTCTTCCTCCTTTCATAGATTAACTGGCCATCTACACATGTGTTTGTTTCTGGGCTCCCAGGGATCTTTCTGGCCCCACACCATGTTCTGTTAGCATCTCTCCCATGAGTCGGAGGCAGGAATGGGCCAGGCCTCCCGACCTTCCCACAGCAAGCCCGCCCACAGCCCTCTGTGTCCTTCCCCGCCTGGGGTGTGACCCTCATGTGCTTGGTCCGAAGGGCTTTCCCTTTGACTGGATGAGCCCACGTCACCACAAGTGAGCACTTGGGAGAAAGCATCTGGTGCCCGTTTTCCACAGTGTGAGTGCTAAGAAGGGTTCCAAGAATTGTCACTAGAAGCAGAGGACGGTTGTGCGTGGACCTGGGAGCTTTGGGGTTGGACACACTTGGCTGCCCAATAGCACTTGGGTCCCTTTCCCTCCACATATGCTCCTTTCTCTCCACACATGCTCCTTTCTCTACTTTACTGGAGCCCCATGTCCCCACCCCCAGTGTACTGGCAGAGGCCTTGGCACTGATCTCTCCCCAACTTCAAAACTTAGCCTTCCGTGTCCCCTGGGGCAGCTGGGCCCAGGGAGCCCTCTCCCAGCTGTCACAGCCCAGCAGGTGGCTTGTAGAAAAAGGGAGGCAGCTGCTCACGTGGCTCCCCTCTCACTGCCTGCCCCAGCTTCCAACCTGAAATTTACACGAGCCAGAAATCCACTCCTGTGGGGTACTTCACTTAGGTTATCGAGTTCCAATTTCTAGTGCAAATGGATCAGGGCCACTCACCACTGACTGGGGCCTGTGAAGAACACATGAGACAGGGCGCAGGACAGCCCGGCGAGGCACTGACGCTTAGGATGGAGTGGGGTGGGGGGGAGTCAGCGGGGTTCCCAGCCTGGCTATGACTTTCAGCCTCTGTATCTCCATCTGTGACAGACACAATCTTAGGCCTTCTTTGGAGGGTTGCTGCAGCCAGTAGACCTCTCTGCAGTAGCAGAGGGCTTTGTAAACTGTGAACTTGACAAATGTGAATCATATCTAAGCCATGAGGCCATCTATAAAAGCAGCTATTTTTTTTTTTAAGGGTGGGGACGTGGGTATGGGAAATGAGGTCTGGGTGGGATGGCTGTGCAGTGCTGGGCAGGTAGGGGACTGCAGGAGGCCACTGCCCCGGGGCCCAGGCCTGAGTAGGAGGGACCACAGTGGGTGGAGCGGGGAGGAAGAAACAAACTTCTCTTTCCAGCAGCTGTGTTTGGGGCCAGGCCCAGTCAGGCCCTGGTCAGGGTGAAGGCCACGAGCCCCCACTGGTTGGTGAGTTCCAGGGGCAACTGGGGATTCAGCTTTGTCAAAAGCAGCTGTTGGGCCGGCCGAGTGGCGCGATGGTTAAGAGCTGGCTTGGGACGCCAGAGGGCCCCGGTTCGGATCCCACATATGAGGGCCAGTGACACTGCCCTCCACAGCTAAGATGCTGAACAACAGCTCAACCTGGAGCTGGGCTGCCATGAGTCGCCGGCGACGGCGTAGGCTGCAGCCCCTGTGGCAGTGGGTTGCCATGGGCTACCGTGTGTAACCAGCGGCCGCAGCCGCAGTGAGCGGCCATTCAGAAGCCGGCGACTGATGTGCCTCACCCGGGGAAGAGCGCGATGATGGTGCCAACTTGGACCAGTGAAGCAACGTCCTCCACAACTAGACTGAAGAACAAAAGGACAGCAACTTGTCTGCTCCCCTTCCCCCAATTCCCCAGCACTGTTCCCATCCCCCTAATTCCCCAATAAAAATCTTAAAAAAAAAAAAAAGCAGCTGTTGAATCAGGCCAGTGAGTCATCTGTTGGGCAAAGTCTCCAAGGTGCAGCGGGTGGCCTGGAGGCTCCCTGGGACAGCGGTGGTGCCTGTCCCCACTGTGTTGGCCAGGCTGGAAGCCCCGGACTCCCAGCTGCCCTTTTAGAAAAAGATTAAATGATAAAACTGATACTCGTTATAGAAAAAAATTAAGTATAAAAAATAAAATGAAGCACAATCCGTAACATGTCCCTAGAGATAACCGTCATTATCTTCTTGATGTTCTCCTTCATCTGGAGCAGGTAACACGGTCAGTTCAGGCACGACCTGCTAAGGTAGCACACAGCTCCCAGTGACCCCCAAGGCTGAGGCCCTACCCCGGCCTCCTGTATTTGCCCCTCCCTTCCTTCTTGTCATGTCCTGCTTTTTACAGGCAATTGAGACTGGAAACCTTAGATTCTCATCATGAAGTATGAAGTTGGGTGTCGTTTTAAGTTAGTCTTTATCAGGATGAGCACCAGCACCTTTTTCTGATTTTTAAGCTTTTAAAACATCCCCAGAACTGTGTGTTGACTCTTACTGAATGCTTCCTTAATTCTGAGTTTTTTTCTTATTTGCCTTTTTGCATTTTCAAAAGCATGGGAACCATGGGGGCATTCCTGTTTTGCCTGTTTTGTAGGTTTTGTCACTCATCTCCTTTTAAAAACATCCAAGGGAGAAAGAAAGGAAAAGTTCACCAGTGCCCAGATTCAGTGAAGACTTGGGGAGTGTGTAGGAGTGACAGACCACTGATTAAACGCCCTTGGGGACACATCACCCCGCCCAGTCATTTAGGTCATCCATTTTGCTCTGTGTTCTGAACATGGGGGTTTTGCTTTCGTGGAGGGTGAACTGGGGGTATGATACATGTGGTTGGTCGCCCTCACTCGACAGCAGTCACCATCCGGCAGGAGCTCTGGACAGGAGAGGATGCCCAAGGCCATGTTCATGTCACCCTGTTGGGCCCAGGGGTCTGGGCATCTTCTGGACACCCAGAGTGAGCGTGTGGTGATGTTTCTCTCCCCAGAACTGTGTCAACAAGCAGCAGCTCCTCACGTCCATCCGCCAGTTGCAGCAGCTGCTCAAGGCCCAGGAGACGCGCTTCGCCGAGGGCGTCCGCAGCATGAGGAGCCGGCTGGCCGCTCTGCAGGGCTCCGTGAGCAGAGTGGGCCCAGACGCCTCCCCAGGTGGGTCCCCACGCCTGCACCACGGGACATAGGGCACTCAGACCCTTCGCCTGTGATCCCTCCCCCGATGGTCACTCCCTTCCTCCTAGACGTTGCAGTCAAGGCTGCACAGTGTGCACATCTGCAGTCTTCGAGAGGCGCCACTTTCGGAGCAGAACCTGCTTCTCCCTACCCTGTCTCCACCCAGGTGGATGACAGTAGGCTCCAGTTTGGGTTTTTTAAAAATGTAACAGACTACTTTTCAGAGCAGTGTTACTTTCACAGCAACATTGTATGGAAAGCACAGAGTTCCCACATATACACCCTCCCGGACACACACAATGACGCTGCCATTACCGTCCACACCAGTGTGGCACACCGGGCGCATGAACACTAGGCCTCCAGCAGCCGTCCCCTTTAGTGCCAGTGGGGCGGGTGGGAGGGACTGCTGAGGGCATGTGTGCTCTGACAGACACTGAGGTGTCCTCCTGCTTGTCCCAGTAATGGCTTTCTCACTGCCAAGGGCCAGAAGTGGGCAGCAGGGTTTCCTCCGGCCTCTGCTGAGGTGATGGGGCAGGGGTGGTCTTCGTGCTCTAAGGCCTGAGCCTGTGGGGTATCTGACGTCATTTACCCACAGAAGACCCATTATGGAAGGCTCTCTTGGTGATGAGACATGAAGTTCCCGGGGAGGGTGCTGAATTTCCCATTCCAGAGGTGATGGTGTCAAACCCAGAGTCTCAACAGCACCAGCCGACTCGATTTCTTGGCTCCTCAGGGCAGAGCTGGACCTCCAGTCAGACCGCCAATACTTTCCCAGGCACCGTGGGACCTAGCCCTGCAGGCTCGTCACAGCTGGACCCCAAGAGGCAGGCAGGGCGTCCACCCTGTGGCTACAGATGGGGAAACTGAGGCCAAGAGAAGTGATTAGCAGTAGCAGGTCCCAGATGAGGGGTTTTTTTTCCTGCTAGAGGCCCAATCCCACCGGCCCTCTCTGTGTTTATGGGGTCAGAGCAACTCGCAACCCCTGGGAGTTTGTAAGAAGAACCAGCCAGAGGTCATTTATAGAACTGGCTGGCCGTGTCAGAAGCCTCTGTTTGCTACTGTTAAATCACAAATACTCTTAGCCTCAGATCCAGGGGCTTTCTTTCTTGAACCACATAGAATGTTTTTAAGTAGCCAATTCTCCTTGTAAACAACTGCCACCTTGCATTCTTTCTCTCCGTGTGTTGGACATGGGCATGGGCAGCTGCCAGGATCCCTGCTGTAGTGTGGGGGCTGGACCTGTGCCCTGAGCCAGGAGCTCACCCCAGACCAAGCTGCAGGTCGTGGAAAAATTGTCTTCTGCTGTTTTTGTTTTAAAGGGCATTTGCTGGATCAAGAATACTTTCTCATCCTGCAGAATCCTCAACCTTCCTCTTTCTCTCCTAACTAGCTCTCTCCTATTTCCCAGCCTTTCTTTCCTGAGACTGTCACAACAGATCAGCTTTGGGGCTTGTCCAGGCAGCCTTATCCCACCCACAAACCCACATCGCCAAGGTTGCGTCCCTGCTGACCTCGTTCCTTACACATTAACCTCGTTGTGGAAGGTGGCCTGTGCTCACTGGGATGTGCTCGTGGTGAAATGAACCAGCTGTGGGGCATGCTGTCCACAGAGTAAACTATCTGCCGGGGCACGCTGTCCATGGGGCACGCCATCCACCAGACAGAGAGGTCTTTGGCTCCCATTTGGGAAGTGAGTGCAAATTGATTTTTTTAAAAAAAGATTTTATTTAATTGGGGAATTGAGGGATGGGAACAGCACTGGGGAATTGGGGGAAGGGGAACAGACAAGTTGCTGTCCTTTTGTTCTTCGGTCTAGTTGTGGAGGACATTGCTTCACTGGCCCAAGTTGGCACCATCATTGCGCTCTTCCTGGGCGAGGCAGATCAGTCACTGGCTTCTGGTCAGCCACTCACTGCGGCTGCTGGCCCCTCACGCTGGCTCCTGGCTACACACTGTAGCCCATGGCAACCCCCCACAGCAGGGGCTGCAGCCTACGCCGTCGCCAGTGACTCAAGGCAGCCCAGTTCCAGGTCGAGCTGTTGTTCAGCATCTTAGCTGTAGAGGGCAGTGTCACTGGCCCTCATATGTGGGATCCGAACCGGGGCCCTCTGGCGTCCCAAGCCAGTTCTTAACCATCGTGCCACTCGGCCGGCCCCTGCAAATTGATTTTTAATTGATCTGTGTCCATTAATTAATCCCACTAACATTTATAGGTACAATTTACCTGTGAGTTGTTCCAGCAGGTGGTTTTTTGAGGGTTTTAAGATTTCTCACCCTAAGGAAACTCCACTTCTTTCCCCCTTGACAGTGATCCCCTTGACATTCCTTAGACCTGCCAGGCATGCTGGCAATGGCTTGTCCCTTCTGTCCTCCCTGACTCTGTGCGGTTATGCCTCCATCATCTTCAACCCTTGGCCCCAGTGAGGCCTCCCTGACCTGCATGTGCACAACTGCACCCCTCGCTAGGCCCCCAGCACTACCCGCTGCTCTATTTGCTACGGACACTGTCACCTCTTATCTCACTCTGCCACCTGCTCCTGGGTCTTGGTTATCGACTGTCTCCCCTGCTAGAAAGGGCTTCCTGAGAGCTGGGTTTTGTTCACTAGTATCATGCCTGGCACCCGGTAAGAACACAGTCGAAGGTTTGCCATTCATTCATGTGTTCGGGGATTATTGACTGGGTGCTTACTATGGGGGGTGCTGGGCTGGGCCAGGCCCGAAGCAGGAACCAGGCCAGGTGTGGAATTAAACAAGATGCTCCCAGTGGTCACCACTCTAGGAAAGAAGCAAAGGGCCTCACGGGTGCCCCGGGAGGTTTTAGTTATTCCTGGTGGCGGAGAACTCTCTGGGAGGGGGCGGTGTTCGAGTGGTGACACACGTGAGTGAGGAGGAGCCAGAGCTGGGGCGCTCTGTGGAGAGAACATTCCAGGCAGAGGGAGGAGACGATGCAGGGCCTGGAGGCGTGGCTAAGCCCCCCTGGAGCTCCGAGGGGACAGAGTGGCGGGTGGTCAGTGCAGCTGTGGGAGTCCCACCCCAACCTTCCCCTGCGGTGGCCTCGTACAGCACTCAAGCTCTCACCGTTCACTGAGTGGGCAGCCGTCACCTGTGGCCAAGCATGTTCTGAGGACTCAGTGAGACCCAGCGTTTAAAATGGTGCAGCCCAGTGCACAGCCTGGAGGAGGCACTCAGCAGAGGCCTGATGACCGGGGGCCTGGTGATTGACAGTACTCTCTGAGGGCTGTGGTCGTCCCTTTTCTCCCTGCAGTGTCCTGTCCTGCTCTGAAGGCCCCTCTGGATGGCAGGAAGTTCGGAAGCAAGTACTTAGTGGATCATGAAGTCCACTTCACCTGCAACCCCGGGTTCCGGCTGGTTGGGCCCAGCAGCGTGGTGTGTCTCCACAACGGCACATGGACGGGGGCAGAGCCCCACTGCACAGGTCGGCCTCCCTCCCATCCCCGCTGGACCCATCACAGCCCAGCAGGGTACTGCTGGGGACAAAGAGCCATTCCTTGGGACCCTTTCTGCCTCATTTCTCCACCATTCCCCAACCGCAGATCTGAGGCACAGAGAGATGAAGGAACTTGCCCACGGCCACACAGCAGAGGACAGGCTGAGCTGACTCACACCCAGATACCCTGACCCCAGAGTCAGGTCCTCAACAGTCACTCTGCTCTTCCTGACAGTGGGGGGAGGGATGTGAGGGAGGCACTGCATGGAAATGTGCCCGTGGCTGCTCCCTTCCAGGGCTGTAGTTTGTTTGCAAGGCTATTGGTGACCTGCGGGGTCTAGGACATTCCCCAGGTGTCCCTTGTGTCTGTTTTGGGACTTGGTGTGGACAGACTCCGGGAGAGACCACTGAGTAAGATGAGACATGACAAGCTTGTTTCTGTCTGTGCTGGGCTTGAGAACACTACTTTCTTGCTGTCGAGGAAAAGCAGACTTGGCACACATCACGTGTTGGCTTTTCAAAAACATAGGGTCACAACTTCAACCACACCATTTTCAGGGCAGGGCTCATGGACGTCTGCTAGGGCACAGTGTCCATGATTTTAGCCCAAGAGTAGAAGGGGAAATGCAGATATTGCATAAATAAATATGTTGTGAAGAGCTGTAGAAAGAGGACTTCGAATGCATAAATAACTTGAAAACATACAGGAACATCTGTCCAGACGAGCATGGGTTGACCTAAGAAGCACGGGACAATCAGCCCCTCTCATGGGTCCAGACTTTGTTTCCCATCTCCTGGGAACAACATGGTTTTGAAGGGTGGTTACAGGTACCAGCTCTTAGACCTACGGGGAACCAGCCAGGAAACACAAGCCATGTGACATGCAGACACACCGGGGGACATGCCGGTGTCTGTATTCACCCTGCACCCTGGAAGAGCTCCATCATCTCATACAGATGCCAAAAAAGAAAAAACAGTTTTTCCTTGTGATGAGAACCCAAAGGACACATGCTTAACTGTTCTTCCAAACGTCCGTGCTGACTGCAGTCGGGTTGCTATGGGTCACCTCCAGGGCTCACTTACCTTACAAATTTGTGCCGTTGATTCCAGAGCCTTGGCCACATTCAGGTGACATTTTTGTTTTGTTTGGGCAAGACAGCAGTATAGCCTTCTGGCAGGGAGTCCCTGCTATCGTCCTCTGTTCCCGCGATGCTGCGCCCTGGTGACATCACCGCTGTCTGCATGCATACGTCTCTGCAGCCAGTTCCTCCAGAGGAACCCAGGGGCAATGCCCTGAGTTCTCGCACTTTGAAAAAGTGTGCAGCTTTAACACTGGGTGTCATTGCGATTGGACATACGAGGTGTGATCACAAAATACAGTGAATATTTAAAATTTTTTTTTAATGTATTACAGGAAAAGACACATCACCATTAATCCCCCTCGCTTCAAACACACTTATCCCATCACTCTTGCCACTTTCTGAAGCAGTTCTGGAAGTCCTCTTTCGTGAGTGTCCTTAGTTGCACTGTCATGGCTGCCTTGATGTCTTGAATCAATTCAAAACGTTTACCTTTCATGGTCATTTTGACTTTGGGGAAGAGCCAGAAGTCGCACAGTGCCAGATCCGGTGAATAAGGTGAATGAGAACACACCATAATGTTTTTATTTGACAGAAATTGCCATACCAGAAGCCATGTGTGACACAGAGTATTGTCATGATGGACGATGAAGTAAAGACAGTCACAAAAGAGGACTTCCAGAACTGCTTCAGAAAATGGCAAGAACGATGGGATAAGTGTGTTTGAAGTGAGAGGGAGTACTTTTAGGGGTATTAATGGCAATGTATCTTTTACTGTAATAATTTTTTTTTATTTAAACATTCACCATATTTTTTCATCACACCTCGTAAAATTCCTGTCTCACATTTCTTTCCTTGAGTGTCTTAAATGTGTTCTCCCATGTCTTCTGTTTTAATAGGTGCTCTTGCTTCCACTAGGAGTATTTTGGTCATTTGTCTGGATGATGCCCAAGGGATTTCTTTTTCTTTAAAGCCTAATCATTTTGTTAGACTCTGTGTCAACACCGGCCTCCCGGAGGCAGTCTTCTCAGGTGTGGGCTCATCTGTTCAATAGGAAGCTTCTGTGTCTGAAGCAATCTGGCCATTAGGAACTCTCAGAACATTCCAGGATAAGCCCCAATACTGGAGACACTACAGGAGGAGAATCCATATTGAGCCCAAAAAGGAAAATTGGTGGAAATGGCAGAGAAATAGGAGGATTGGAAGGGAGCTGAGCTGAGCCACACTGAAAACAATGGAACTGGGAGACTGGGGACCTGGCATTAGAAAATCTGTACAGGACAGCCATGTTTCCTGGGTATAAGTAATAGAAAACCCTGGATGCACTATTGTAAATAATAATAATAATAAAAAATAAAGTCTATAGAAGATGAAGAAACACCAGCAAGACCTGCCCATCTAACACATGGAAGCTGTAAATATTTCCAAGCCAGTTGCAAGAAAAAGGTTAAAGCTATGGAAGGATGGCATAAATGAAACTTAAAAACCTCAGAAATTAGGTGATTGGAGAAATGGAAGTTTGAAATGCGATAACGGGACTCAAGAAAAAATTGGAAATAAAAGGACAAGGAATAAGAACATGCATGTGAAATGCTGATCTTGGCTTGGGACAGTAAGGCCACCATGCTTCCAGCTTGCCAGCCCCCCCACGGCCTCTCCAGGGCCCTTTTTACAGCTCTGAAGTCCCCATGCACTTAATTAACTAAGTGCCACTGCTCAGAACAGACATGATATGATGAAAAGTATACTTCCATCAGGACACAGAGGGGTGCGAGCATCAGGCCACTGCATGCCTCCAACAGCCCATCAAGATAAGGAAGAAAGCGTCTGTGTGGAGCCTATAAAGAAACGAAAACTCTGGGCCACAAGATCTAGGCAGGAGACAGCACCAAGAGGCCTGGGGCACAACCCACAGCCACCCCCAGCCCCCATCCAGGTGCGGCCAGGTCCATTGACTTCAGCTGGGGGCCCAGGGGGGCCAGACTAAAAGATACCAGTGTCCGCACCCGGGCTCTGTGCCCACCTCACAGACCTGTGGTCGGCCCCTGAGGAATCATGGGGCTGAACTGCGGGCACAAACGGGAACTCCAAGCCTTGTGGCTCTGTGTGCCCTGGTTCCAGACACATTCCTGGAAGCCAGTTGGCTGAAAACAGAGTGAATGGGTGGTGCAGCCAGGCTGAGGTTACTGGCAAGTTGACAGGCTCCTCCCAGGGCGGCACCATCTGCGTGGTCTGGGTCCTCCCATGATGAACACAGAACACAGTCTAACATGACACCACAGTCACGAGGAGGCTGAAGGGAAGGGGTCCCTGCCAACCCGCCCACGCGAGGCTGCTGTTCTCATAAGGAGCAGGGACCTTTCCTTCCTGTCAGTGGACACAGCAGGAAAGGACATGGTCCTGACTTGTTCCCAGGATGCTATGGTCAGCTGGGTGAACCCGCAGACCTGCTCCCAGGCCTGAGCTCTGCCACTGGAGCCGGGTTTGCGGAATCCATGCAGATGGGTGGGGGGTTCAGTATCATCTTTTCCTAATTAGGAAACTTATAAATGTTTGCTGTGGGGAAATGGAAGAAGACAGAAAAGTGTAGATAAGCAAAGAAAAAGTACCACACAGAAAAACCTGCTGAACTTGTAAATATGCATCTCCCTATAGCCATTCCATAGGACTGTTGTTTTCATGGAAGGGACGGTCCCTTTTCCAACCTCAAGGACAGGTCCATGGTTAGGACTCCCTGGTCGCAGAGAACTTGGCAGCACAGGAGGGCTTCTGGACGGGAATGGAAGGGCATTTCCCCATCTCTGCACATTCCCATGGCCACCCTCCCTCCCTCTTACTAAAACCCTGAACAGAGCCCTTCAAAGGGGTTCCACCTGGGTGCTGGCAGAGAGGGGTGGAGTTGGGGGGGGGCAGTTCTGCCTGGGTGCTGGCACACAAGATAGGTGATGGGCTGCTCTGGCTGGCAGAGCTCTAGGTGGGCTGGGGCAACTGGTCTGCCAAGTGGAGGGTGGTCTGCCCAGCCCTTGCAGTGGGGGCAGTGGAAAGGTCAGGTGGGGGGAGAGATGGAGTCAGACTGTGATGAACAAACTGCACCCCTCTTTGTGTTGGAATCAGAACTCACACACTTGTGTCTGAAAAGTATTTATTTTCCTAGACATCAGCGAGTGCTCCAGTCAGCTCTGTCAGAATGGTGGGACATGTGTAGAAGGAGTCAACCAGTACAAATGCATTTGTCCCCCAGGAAGGACTGGGAGCCGCTGTCAGCAGCAGGCCCAGACTGGTATGTAGCTGTGTGGGGTTGGGCAAGGACATCCCGCTGCTGAGCGGGGGGAACCCTGGTCACGGACCACCAGAGAGTGGGCTCTTCCTTTCTGTGTAACATCCATTGATCCCTCTGGTTCCCTGAGACGGTTACTGGGGAGGGAGTTGAGCTCTTTTGTAATAACCAAAGTTTTGACCCTTCTCATGGAAGAAAGTTCATGTGGAAGGACTGACTTACAAACTGAAAAATCCCAGGACTGGGGGTTGGGCTGGGGACGTTTCCTGGCTGCCACCTTCACATGGTCATTTCTACAGCAGGCCAGCAGGGCATCTCCTGCAAATGCTGTGGCCACACCCCACACAACTACACTTATTGATAGAGGCCAAGTATCTTTAATGCTGGGTGACCAGCCATCTGACAGGTGGTGAGTCCCAACGTAGAGTCCAACGTAGCTGCAGCCAGAAGGTCTAGAAGGTGCAGATGGCCAGAAAATCCAGTGGAGAATGTATGGAGTGGCTGGGGGGGCGGGTTCCCCACACTATGAGACAACCAAAATTTCTTCTACAAAAAGGTCATATCCTAAAGACATCCCATTACTGCCAGAAAAGCCTGGAGTATCCTGTGTGATCTCTGCGTGGCATCAGCATGGGCAGGAGGAACGGGTGGTAGGCATAGGGTCTGGAGAGTAGGAGCTTTGCCAGTGCTGATGTCCTTGCACTGGACCCAGCCCAAGGTCACTTTTAAGTGTTGCCCCCAGACATTTGCTGCTTTCTGTGTGTTGATTCCGTTCAGCCGAGTCGGCCTGCTGGGCGCTGCCTCAGGATGAGGCTGCTCTCCGGGGAGCCCAGAGGCCCTCCCAGCTCCGGCTGCTCTTTGTGTGGAGGCCAGGGGCAGGCCCTTTTTGGCAGCCCCACTGCCTCTCCTACTTACAAACAGGGTGGGAGAAGAAATGGGCCACCTTTCCACCCAAATGTGCTGCTCCTGGACACTGACGGCTGCTGCTGTCAGGACCTCTAGGTCAGGTTTGATGTATGAAGTATCCCTGTGGAAGGCGAGGAGGGGGTAGCAGATGCATCCAAAGCCGGCTCCTGTCTGCACAGCGTCCATGGGTGGCCCAGCAGACACACGTCCTGTGCACCCGCTCCGTCAGCCTGGAGCCTTCCCAGCTCTGCCTGCGTCTTTCCAGCTTGGGATAAATCCCCGTTCCTCTACAATCTCCCCCAGCCCTATGAGAGCTCTACACCCTTTGAAAGCTTTCAAAAACTGATTCTTTCTGTTTAGAAAAGTGATTTCTGTTCTTGGTTAAAAAACAAACAAAAAGCTGAGACACTTTAGAAAAGCACAAAGAATACAACAAAGACACACACACACACACACACACACACACACACACACACACACACACACACACACACACCGCCCCCAAGTGGTGTTTTGAACTGCAGTGACGCTGTTAGCACTAAGTGTGCATGAAGCCTTTCTGAGGGAGGACACAGGTTTCACGTCCCTGCAGCCCTAGGTGCAGTGCGTGCCAGCGACTTCGTGCCGTGCGATGCTCGGTGCGCTGGGTCCGCACGCCCTCCGCGGGGTTTTGCTGTCACTGTCCCTCCTTCCCTGCCTGCAGAGTGAGTTCTGAGGGCCCCTCGCGATATCCGGGTGGCGGGAGGGAGTGGGGGACAGCCCTGACACGTCTTGTCCCCGCAGCCGCCCCCGAGCGAGTGGTGGGCGACCCTGCCTTTAGCCGCGCGCCCCGCTGCGCGCAGGTGGAAAGGACACGGCAGTGCAGCTGCGAGGCCGGCTTCCAGCTCAGCGGTGTGGCTGGCGACAGTGTCTGCCAGGGTAGGTGGACAGCCCGCGGGGAGGGGGTACAGGGTGGGATGGAGGCGGGGAGAAGGGCTCCCACAACGGGAAGGGGACAGCATGAGGGAACACAGAGGGAAGGGGCTTTCACCCACCAGGGGAGCGGACGGTATGGGGGAGATACACAGCAGGAAATGGGGTTCCAACAGCCGCCTTCCCACCTGCCTGAGCACCCAGCCAGCAGCACCCGGGGCACAACGGGGGATGCGGGCTCAGGGAGCACAGCCTCTGTGCTGACCTAGTGGCTAAGACCCAGCCAACATGTAGACATGAGTGGGCTCATAAGAAGGCAGACAGGGGGGCCCAGGCTTGCTGGAGTCAGAAGCTGGTGGGCCTCCACCCAAGCCCTGCACACTGGTCTGGAAGATTCTTGAACCCCTTGTCCCTCCATCCTGGCTGGAATCACCAAGTTGGGGGTGAGGATGGAGAGGCTCTGGTGGTAGACAGGCAGAGCTGGGCAGGCACCTGGGGCTCAACCCTGTCCCCTCCTGGCTTAGCTTAGGGGAAGACAGGGCCACTTCTGCTAACCCTCCTGGTCACCAAACTCCTTCTGAAAGCAACAGACTGGTGGTTCAAACCCAAGAATTTGTCAGATGGTGCCAACAACCACCTTTTACAGCAGCAGAAACGAGACCTTCTTCCCAGAGATGGGGCCATGCGCCAGACCAGGGGTCTGGGCTGCCCCCAGGGCCTGCTTGGCCAGCCTCTGCGGGATCTCCCCTTAGTCTTCAGCCTTAGGCAGAGAGCCACCCAGGCTGCCTCAGCAGCTCCCTCACTTGTCCCTTGTGCCCTCTGGTGCCTTGGCTCAGGAGAAAGTGGGGCAGGCCTGCCCTTCTCCCTATGCTCTGCTGGGGACGGGGTTCACTGCATGGCTCCCAGAGTCATGCCGGGCACTTCTGTCCCCAGATGTGAATGAGTGTGAGCTCTACGGGCAGGAGGCACGCCCCCGGCTCTGCATGCACGCCTGTGTGAACACGCCCGGTTCCTACCGCTGTGCTTGCCCCAGCGGGTACCGGACCCTGCAGGATGGGAAGAGCTGTGAGGGTGAGTGAGCCTGCTGCAGGGGCAGGTGCTCCGGGCTGGAGGGCAGCTCTCCACACCTACTCACTTGCTGCTCTTGTGACGCGCCAGGACCTAAAATGGGGGTGCAGTGGGTCTTAGGGAAGCCAAAGTCTCAAATATGTTCAATATTTTAAAAAACCACCAACAAAAGGACCTCTCAAATCAGGCCACATTGTCACTGACATAAATAGGAAAGCAAGTTGCTTAACCATCCTAGCAGTCTCTCCCAACCTTATGTGAGTCACTGTTTTCAAAGCCCAGGTCATGTCCTCCAAATCAGCAATGCCTTTAGCCAGGCCTGGACCCAAAGGCAGAGCAGCCTAACAGTCCCCATGTCCTGCAGTCTGGAGGAGACATGAGGCTCCTGGCATAGTGCAGGCCTGCATCTACGTATGAAAGAGAAGCACCTTACAGGCACTGAGGCCGTAGTGTGATCACCCCCAATCTCAACCCTGGAGCCTTGATGCTGCAGAGGGTCTCTGGGGGGAAACTGGGTCTGCTAACACAGCCTGCTTCATACTAGAGAAGGGACAGACCTTGTGTCCCTCGGCTGTGCTCACCCATGGAGACAGGACACAGAAAAGAATCCAGCTAAGCCCCAGAAAATGGCTCTGAACTGCTGGGAGAGAAGGAGGAGAAGAGAGGGCAGAGGGCTCCTCCACAGGCTGTGGGAATGTGAAAGGAGGCAGCTCCCCAAGGACATCCTACTGGAGTTCCACTGTAGGACTCACAGTAGTGGGCAAATCGGGACTGGAGTAGGAGAAAGCACCCAGGTAGCCATCATTGGTATGTCCATCCATCCATCTCCCCATCCATCCATCTGTTTTCCCATCCATCCATCTATCTCCCCATCCATCCGTCCATCCATCCATCCATCCATCCATCCATCTGTCCATCTGCCCCACAAGAGTTCATGAAGGCCACGCAGGAGGGTGTGGGGTTGGGAAGAAATATAGCCTGCAGCCAGGGAACTCACATGAAGAGAGCAGAGAACTCATACAGAGGACAGTGGTGAGGCTGCAAAAGAAGCTTTCGATGATTTGATCATAAAGGGAGCGATAACAGCCTTGGAGGGGAGACTGCAGGGCCCCTCGGCTGAGGAGGAGGCAGGTCTGAGGGATGCACTGTGGCAGAGCAGTCCTTGGTGCTCCCGGCCCCCAAGCTGTAGCGGGAGGGGTATCCCCAGGGGGGTGCAGTGGCACTTCCGCGGACCTGGCTTCCAGAGGGTAAGGAGCCCGGCTTCCTGCCCTGAGAATGAGAGTGGGGATTTGGTATGCTTGTCATGTGAGAAGCATCACTTTCCAGGGACACTGTCAGTGATGGAGGGGACGTCGGGGCCCTTCTCCCCCATGGGTGCCTGTATTTCAGATGTGGACGAGTGTGTGAGCCCACAGCACCTGTGTCCCCGGGGGACCACGTGCGTCAACACCGGTGGAAGCTTCCAGTGCGTCAGCCCCGCATGCCCCGAGGCCAGCAGCAACGTCAGCTACGTGAAGACGTCCCCCTTGTGAGTACCCCCAGGGTTCTGGGAGAAGATCCATTGTGTCTGAGGGAAGACGAGAGCTGGGGGGCTGGGGTCCGGCTCCTCTGAGCTCCCTTTAGTGGAGATAGGAGCTCTGTGCAGTCGGGCATCATTTCCAAGGCTGCCTGCTGACAGGGAGCAGGATATGACTGTGGCCACTCCCTTGTGGCAGTTCGGGGAGAGAGTGCCACAGGGCAAGTGTATATCCCACCCATTTGGGAGAAGATCGCCTCCTGGTGCCCACACAGCACATGACACTCCTTGCTAACATGCTGACACCAGGCTTTTCTGCTGCCACTGGAAGGTTTAGCCTCTAGGAACCTCAGCCCTTAATTGAGCTTTCTCTTTTCAGAAGTGGGGAGAGGGGCAGGCCTTTCAGGGAGAATAACTACAACTAGGACCTTCTGGAAAACAGATCACAGCAGCACTAGCATTGTCTTTAGACTTCACAAGCTTAGGTACCTGAAATGCTTGGGGCTACAGCAGGTTAGAAGCAGTGAGAAAGGCAGTGGCTAAAGAGTGGCAGCTATTAGTGAGAGTGAAGACCTCAGGACAGTGAGAAAGAGACAGAGGGACCTGCATGTCATAGCCTTGGGGACATCCCTGACTGGCCTGCATTAATTACCGTGATGATGTGACTCACCAGATAGACTTAAGCACATCTGTGCTGATGTGGGAAAGATCAGAAGCCCTTGCTCCTGACCCTGGCCCCAGATGGTGAAGGCGGACAGGGTTTCCTGCTTCAGGAATGAATAACCCTAGGTGTTGGTGAAGTTCAGCACGTGTGGAGCACTATATTCCAGGAGGTTGCCAGCTACCTTCTGGGATCCCAGTCACTGAGGGAGGTCTCAGCACGTATAGAGGGGCACCTGGTCTGAATACCAACATCACAATTGCTATTTAATCTCCCCTGGCTTTATTTTTCTGTAAAAGCTATAGTAATAGCATACACACACACATGCGCACACATACATGCACACACAGGCACACATACATGCTGTTCACATGTGTGCAGCACACACAGGCACACATGCACAGATGGGTTAGGGTAGCACCTCTTCTCTGGCCACCCAAATGCCAGCTGCACTCACTTGCCTGTAATTCCTGGCACCTGTAGCAAGGGACCCCTGGCTGGGAAAGGTCACTCAAGGTCACTTCAGTGGCCTCTGCAAGAGGGCAGGCAGGGCACAAGCCAGGTAAGGGCGACCCCACCACGTCTCTGCAAGGCTGACTGCCTACATCTCGCCTCTCTGCTCCAGCCAGTGTGAGCGGAATCCCTGCCCAATGGACAGCAGACCCTGTCGCCTCCTGCCCAAGACCATCTCCTTCCACTACCTGTCTCTGCCCTCCAACCTGACCACACCCATCGCACTCTTCCGTGTGGCCACAGCCTCAGCACCCGGCCGACCGGGACCCAACAGCCTGAGGTTTGGCATCGTGGGTGGGAACGGCCGCGGCCACTTTGTGATGCAGCGTGCAGACCGCCAGACGGGGGAGTTGATCCTGGTCCAGACCCTGGAGGGGCCTCAGACGCTGGAGGTGGACGTTGATATGTCGGAATACCTGGACCGCTCCTTCCAGGCCAACCACTTGTCCAAGGTCACCATCTTTGTGTCCCCGTATGACTTCTAAGGGTGCAGGGGGCACTGGGTATGCAGATCTGGGCTTAGGTCTGTTCCCAGAAGGCTCAGCTGTGGGCACTGACTGTAACGGCCATGTCGCCTCCTGGCCCCCTGCACGAGCATCTCCGGCAGCGCACAGAAGGGCAGCCACCAAACCCAAACGCTGCTATCACTTTGGTTTCCTGCTTTAGGGACCTTCCCTTAGATTACCCACTAACTTTCTGAAATCTTTACAGGGGAACGGGCAGCTTTAGAAAATGAGGTGTAAATGGTGCTGTGAGTGTGTGTCTGAGGTCATTGTCAGTCCTCGTGATTGTCATGGTCATGCTGAGGGTCATGCGAATGGCATGGGGGTGGGTCCTCAGCCACAACCCAGCGTGCTGTTCCTGTCTGCATCCTCTCTGTGACATGCTGCCAGCCTTCTCACCAGAGAGCCATTCAGGACCTGGGACCCCCACGCAGATTCTTCTAGACCAAGAGACCAACATTAAAGCATAGATTCCGCCTGAATTAATTCCTTTTGAGAAATCACAGCTCAAAAAACACAACCTGGGATTCTAACTGGAGAAATAAGGTTTATTGCTCCTCGCTGCCCACCTGGCCTGTCCCTGAACCTGAACTGGCCCCATTCATTCTAGGAGGGGACACCTGGGCCTCTTCCTGTCCAGACTGGACCTTCTGGGATATGTGACTAAGAAAGAAAACACAGGCAACTGGGATTGCTCCCCCCGTGAGAATCTGGCCTGGCCCCTGGGACATTGGTAAGGCAACACCTGGCTGCAGGGAGTTTATGAAGACGCTTGGACTGTCACTAATTCCGGGGTTTCTACTTCTGATGGAAGAGTGGGGGCGATGCCCCCCAGGGACAGGCTGGGCTGGTGTGGCATGGGCTGGGCTGGCAGAAACGGTTCAGATTAAAACTCAGAAGCCAGCTGAGCTGTATCTCAGTATCCAGATACCTGTCAGTTTAAGAAAGGCTTCATTGCAGATGTGTCATTCACATACTCTCCATGTTTGCCTTGGTACGAAGGGGGCAGAGGAGGTGTGTTGCCAGGTAAGTGGGCAGGCCCACATCAGGATGTTTCGGGGACACTGTCCTCTTTTTATTTTGTCAGACGAAGAGTGAGATACAGTCAAGAGTTGCCTTTAATGCTTTTCTCCTCCTCCCAAGGGCTCAGCTGCCATGTCTCCAACAATAGGACCAGGACCTGCAAATCTGCTTTACTGGGTTGATACAGGACTTTATTAAAACTGTGTTTCCAAATGGTGCTGTTTTGGACCACCCAGTCCCTTGTGAAGAACACCCAATGGGAGAGTGCAGGGGCCTGACCATGTTCCTGAAATTAAGATATCACAACAGGTTGCTTGTTCCTCCTTCCTGCTGGGGACAGAGGTGGCCCCCAGGAACAATCCTCTCACCTCAAGCAGGTGAGGAGGACAGGTATGAGGAGGTGTGCAGAACAGGTGCTCCACCTCACCTGGAGTGTGACGATGATGTGTATGCTGCATAGGCCCCATCTAAAGCAGTGGCTTGTTCACCCAGACCTGCCATCACAGCACTACACAGGAATGCCGGGCTGCTTGGGCCCCTCCTGTGGATCGTTCCTGTGGAAGCAACCAGCTCCAATGTGTGCCAGGTCAGAGTAGCTGGTAGTCCCAGGTATTAATGTGCACCCTTCTCTAGGAGACACGGTGTCACAGGATTTGGCAGGGGCTTTTAAAGCATTTTATCATGCATGTGGCAAACTCATACAGAAGCAGGGAGACTGGTATCAGGAGCCCATGTTCGATCATGGCCAGTCTTGCTCCATCTCTCCTGTCACCTCACCCTGGACGACCTTGAAGGTCCTGGATATCACATCATTTCATCTGTAAATATTTCAGCCTGTATCTTTAAATCATAAGGTCTTTTAAAACCTAACCTCAATACCAAAGGCACCTATAAAAATAGCAACAGTTCCTAATCCCTTCAAGCATTCAGTCATTGTTCACATTTCTGAGTGGCTCGTGACTTTCTGCCTGTTGGTCTGAATTAGGCCCAGGCTCTGTGATTTGTCCATATGCCTCTCAAGCCTCCTTTGACCTGTAACACTGCTTCTCACACTTCAGCCCTAGATGGGAGAGCCTGGCGGCTTGTTAGGAGACAGGCTTCTGGGTCATTGGCCCTGCAAAATTTCTCAGCATCTGGGCTTTCCTGAATGCGCATCTGTCATGTCTTTTACCACTTCTTCCGTCCTCTCTGTTTCTCATGCTAACAGTTATATCTGGAAATTCGATTGGAGTCCAGTTAGGTTTATTTCTGCAAGACCTCCTACATGTAGGTACTAGGTCTTCCCAGTGGGAGCCGTGGGCTCTCGCCTCTTTTCTGAGCAGCCTCTGATGACTATGGTGGATACAGCCATGACCCTTTCAGGGGTTGCAAGTAACATTCCAGTGCAGGTGTTTCTTCTGTGCTTATTAGCTGGTGTTCTCCATAAAGAGAAACCTCCTCTCATCAATTGTTTTGTTTGCCTGAGATCTTGTCTGTATAGGAAAGGCAGGGGAAACCCTTGGCTGTTCCCCGTTGCAGTCTCCAGTGGGAGTCGTTTGGGTCACTGAGTACACGATGAACTCTCGGTTTGGACACACTTGATATGTATGTTCCAGACCATCCCAGTTAGGTCTCACGGCTGCCCAGATGGACCTACCTGTCTTTGGCACTTGGGAACTGCTTCAAGGTGGCTGAGTCCTTTTGACATGGTCCCCAGGGCCTTGGGCAGCTTCGTAGTTGTCTTTACTACGAAATGTTTCAAACTCATCTCGTATGTTTTTTGCCCCAGGATGTGGTCACCCATTTATCCTGGGGATCCTTGGTTCCTGTAATCGGACTTCAAAACCTTGGTGCTAGGGGTACCCGTCGGTCGTGATTTGCTCATTGTTTCTTGGTTTTAGTGGACAGAGCTTGGAAATATATACTATTAGCTTCTGGGTTTTTGTTGTTGTTGTTGTTTGTTTGTTTGTTTAAAGAAAAAACACTACATGAGTTTGTATTAGTCCTTCCAGTTCAGCTCAGGACTGCAGGGTTCAATGAGACCTCATTGGTCTTACAGTGCTGTTCTCTCATCTGAAAACCTCCTTCTCAGAATCCCCAGAATAACAATGCCAACATCATCACAAGACTATCATCAACACAGTTAAAGTTTTTCTTTTGCCATTCTTTTTGTCCTTAGGGTTTATGCCATTGGGGACATGGTCAAATTTCTGTTTTAAAAACCACCTGGGAAGTTCCTCTCCTGTGGTCATGCCCCAAATGCAAAGCAAGCTTATGCTTATCCACATGGTTTTGCTTACATTTTCAGAGACAGCTTTTTTCATTGTAATTTTTTTTACAATTAGGTAAATGATTTACATGGTTCCCGAGTCAAGTCCACAAAGTGGGCTGGATTCAGAGAGGCCTGTATTCTATACCCCTCCACCTACTGCCTTCTTCTGCCATAGATAGTCAACGTTTTTTATTTTACCCTTCCATTTAAAAATATACATAAGCCAATGATAAATGATAGCATACTATTTTACACGTTCCTGACCTTGCTTTATTTTTTTTCCTTAACAATATACTGGACATCGCTCCATAGAGCCACACGGGACGTTCTCCTTTAAAATGCCGTTATGAGGATATACCATTGTCTATCCGACCAGTCACACATGATTGACACTGGGTTGTCACCAGTCCTTTGCTATTAAAAATAGTGCAGCAATGTGCATTTGTGTTTTCGTGTTTTTGCCTTTGTATCTCTGGGGTCAGTTTTTCCTCCGTAAGGATCCTACTACTTTCTCTCCCCAACACTGTGTAAGAGTCTTGTTCCTGAATCAAAGAAGGCCTGGGGCATCCCAGCCCCTCTAGGGAAGGGCAGAGAGGCTGACTGGAGGGCTGGCGTGGGCATGGCCATCAGTAGCTACCAGGAAGAGATGAGGCAAGCCAGCTGGATTGCTGGCTCCTGAGCAATGGGAAGGGACCTAGGTTTTTGGATAACTTTAAAAAATCATCTTATTTTCAAGTAACACCCCCAACACTAGCAAACAAAAAGGAAAATAAGCTGAAAACAAAATATCACCACAGAGTCACAGTAAGTGATGCATTTATGGGGATCTGAGCACATGCCGTGGAGAGACATGAAGTCAGACTGAAAGTGTCACATTCCACCAAGCTCACAGTTCACAGGTGGAAAGGCAGACTTTTGTGACTTTGACCTTGTATGTATGAGACTGTGTTTATAAGCTGCATAAAAGTTCCTGAATGTTCATGTGTTCCAGGCACTGTTTTGTTACTTAGGACACGATGGTGACCAGCCTGACAGGGACCCTGACCTCATGGAGCTTACATTTCAGCAAGTGAGAAGATAATACACACATAAAAAGAAAAGTATGTGCTTTCAAGGAGGGATGCGTCTGCGAGAATAGAAGCACAAAAGAGGGTGGCCATACATGGTGAGTGTGTGTAGCTCCACCAGCCCTGTAGCCCACGTGACACACACGCTATCATATGTGGTGACAGCTTGGTCCTGGCTCCCAGAATTTGGAATTGTGACTCAGAATGTCAAGTGTGCAAATGCAGTGGTGGTGTCAACCAAGGCCAAGGCTCTCGTGTACAAAGGAAAGGTACCCCACAGAGCGAGCTGTGGTGCTGGCTCAGGGAGAGGGACCAGGAGCCCAGGGGACCTGCGGGGACAGCCTAATTGTCTGGTTTGGTTTTTTTCAAAGATTTTTATTAAAATATAGCTAACATACATTATATTAGTTTCAGGAGTACACCATAGTTATTCAACATTTATATACCTAAAGAAGAGATCACCATAAGTCCAGCAACCATCTGACACTGTGCCACATTATCACAATATTATTGACTATATTCTCTATGCTGTACATTACATCAGGTATACATCACAATGTTTAGACATTTATATAATTTAAGAAGTGATCTCCCTGACTAGTACCCACCTGGCACTATGCATAGATATTACCATATTATTGACTATATTCCTTATGCTTTATATCACCATGACTATTTTGTAACTTTTATTTTGTATTTCTTAATCCCTTCACTTTTTTCACCCTGCCCCCACCCACTCCCATCTATCACCCTGATAAATGTAGTACCCACCTGACACCATACATAGTTATTACAATATTATTGACTATATTCCTTATGAAATACCCTACATCCCCATGATTACTGTGTAACAACCAATTTGTACTTCTTAATCCCTTCCCCTTTTTCACCCTCCCTAAACCCCTCTCCTACCTGGCACCCATCAAAATGTTCTCTGTATCTATGAGTTTGTTTCTGTTTTGTTTGTTGATTTTTTTTCTTTAGATTCCACTTATAAGTGAAATCATATGATATTTGTCTTTCCATGTTGTCGCAGATGGCAAGATTTCATTCTTTTTTTACAGCTGAGTAATATGCCATTCTATATACCGTATTTTGCTGTGTATAATGTGCACCCACATTTTTGGCCCAAACTTTCAGGGAAAAAATCTTTCATTTTAATTTTTTAATTCAAAATTTTATTTGTTTATATTTAGGTACTTGTTTTTTGTATTATAAAGGAATCTTAGCATTTATTTTTAACATATTATGGTACAAGAAATTTTATGTAACAAATAATTACAAAACACAAGAACAGATACAAAGTGCAAGAAATTTTATGTACCAGTAACAAATTTACAATATTTACATATCATAGAAGGCCAAAAACTCTTCATCATTGCAAGTTCTTTCGTAAGTTCAACAAAACTGATTATTGTATTACAGGGTATTATTTTGCATACAGATATCGTTATTGATTTCTAGACTTACACTTTTAACTCATAAGCATAAATAAAAGAATTAAAAACATTTATATAGATACAGAATTAGCACTACCCATGTATAATGTGCAATCTTATTTTTCCCTCACAGATTTGGGTAAAAAAGTGCGCATTATACATGACAAAATACGATATGTACCACCTATTCTTTATCCATTTATCCATTCAGGGACACCCAGGCTGCCTCCACATCTTGGTTATTGTAAATAATGCTGCGATGAACACATCTCCTCAAAGTAGCGTTTTGGGTTTCTTCAGATAAATACCCAGAAGTGGGTTTACTGGGTCCTTTTTTTCTCTTGGTATAGCCTTTGCTTTAAAGTCTCTTTTGTCTAGTATAAGTATTGCTACTCCAGGTTTTTCTTTTTTTTTTTCTGTTTCCATTTCATGAAATACCTTTTCCTTCCCTTAACTTTCAGTTTGTGTGTGTCTTTTGATCTGAAGTGAGTCTCTTGTAGTCAGTATCTGTATGGGTTATGTTTTCTTATCCAGTGAGCCACCCTACGTCTTTTGATTAGAGCATTTAATCCATTTACATTTAAAGTAATTGTTGATATGTAGATATTGCCATTTTATTATTCATATTTTTTATCTTTTTTTTTTTTCATTATACAGAAGTCCCTCTAAGATTCCTTGTAATAGTGGTTTGGTATTGATGAACTCCTTTAGCCTTTTCTTGTCTGAGAGGCTCTTTATCTGTCCTTTGATTCTACAACAAACCTTTTTTTTTTTTTTTTTTTTTTTTTTTTTTAGCTGAGCCATCCTGCTACCTGTTGGCAGCTCAGCGGCTGCTCAGCTTGGGCTGGACTCGAACCGCTGTTGCTCAGAGCTTACACTCTTGAGTGAGCTCTTAACCAACTGAGCCACTCGGCCAGCCCCTGTCCTTTGATTCTAAATGATAGCTTTGCTGGGTGGAGTAATCTTGGTTGTAGGTCCTTACTTTTCATCAGTTTGACTATTTCCTGCCAATCCCTTCTGGCCTGCAAAGTTTCTGTTGAGAAATCAGCTGACAATCTTATGGGAGCGCCCTTGTAAGTAACTAATTGCTTTTCTCTTGCTGTTTTTAAGATTCTCTTTGTCTTTAGCCTTTGGCATTTTAATTAAGCTGTGCCTTGGTGGTGTTGGCCTCTTTGGGTTCATCTTGTTTGGGACGCTCTGTGCTTCCTGGGCTTGTATGTCTATTTCCTTCACCAGGTTAGGAAAGTTTTCGTCATTATTTCTTCAAATAGTTTTAAATTCCTTGCTCTTTCTCTTCTCCTGGTACCTCTGTGGTGTGAATGTTGGTATGTTTAATGTTGTCCCAGAGGCCCCTAAAAAACTCTCACTTTTTTAAATTCTTTTTTTCTTTTTGCCATTCTAATTGGATGTTTTCTACCTTATCTTGTAAATTGCTGATTTGATCCTCTGCTTCATCTAATCTACTGTCATTTCCCTGTAATGTATTCTTCATTTCAGTTATTGTATTTTTTTATTTCTGACTGGTTCTTTATGTTTTCTATGAAGCTCTCACTGAGATCATTGAATATCCTTATAACCAGAGTTTCGACCTCTAAATCTGGTAGGTTGCTTGTCTTCATTTCTTTGGTTCTTTTTCTGGAGCTCTGTTCTGTTCTTTTATTTGGGACATGTTTCTTTGTCTCCCCATTTTGGCTGTCTCCCTGTTTTTTCCTATATATTAGGTAGGGCTGCTATGTTTTCCGGCCTTAGTAGAGTGGCCTTATGTAGTAGGTGTCCTTTGAGGCCCAGTGATGCAGTCTCCCTGGTCACTAGAGCTGGGTGCTCCAGGTGTGTCCCTTGTGTGGACTGTGTGTGCCCTCCTGTTATGGTTGAGCTTTGGTTGCTATTTACACATCAATGAGAGGGACTGACCCTCAGGCTCATTGGTTATGAGGACTGACTGTGATTACAGTGGAAGAGTTGTGCAGGGGCCGACCCTATAGAGCAGGATTCGCTTTAGCAGGGTTCTGGTGTCTGCCCAGTGTGCCCTTTGGGTGTGTTGTCCTTGGAGTTGGCCGGGTGATGTTCCAGCTCTGTTCCAAGCTGGCCACCTGGGCAGGCCAGCTCCGGAGCCACCTGGGAGGGGACCCACTACAGGCCAAGTTCAGCTGCAACCTGTGCCCTTCCCAAGGCCATTTGGCATGAGC